TTAGTGAGCTATACTACTACCTTTTCCTTTTGTAGCCCGTATAGATGGAGACAAGTATACTTACAGATATTTTCAATTGTAGGCTCCGCTGCCGGCTGGGGACGGATAGATGATGCTGGAGTGGTCAAGGTATGATTGTCATATATGCACTGATTCCTAGCGCCAAGATTATAGTGATTGAGTTTGAGACAGCTTTTGGCTGTTAGTATCTGTCTTTAAAATCAGTAGAAATCCTCTTTTTACTTGAAAGAGCAACATTTACTAGTAAACGGCAAAGACCTATAGTTTATTGAGATGAGATACTCTTTAACGAATATTAAAAGCTGGAACATCTTGGATTTTAAGATTATAGCATATGAACTATTGGACTCAAATCCACATAGTATTTGCTGATTATTTTTCTTAACTATAGATGGTAAAGTGAAGCAAAAACAGTATTAAGATGTGTGTCCTGTTTGGGGTTTATTATATGTTAGGTATATGAAACCCTTGGAGGGGTTAAAGTAGAAGGGAAACTTCCTGTTCTGAAGAAACAAGACGTATTAAAGTCTCTTCCATCTGAATGGCCTTTCGACCCCACAGATGACATACATAGATTAAATATGGGAAAGTCAAAGACGTTGGTTGTTCTTGATGATGATCCAACTGGGACACAAACTGTTCATGACGTAGAGGTTTTAACAGAATGGTTAGTCTTGCATGCTTTCTCTATAAAGACTGAATTTATCATAAAAGCTGCTAGCCTAGAACCCAATGGAAGACTTTGATAAATGGTTATTGATTTTCCCTACATTTTGATAGGAGTGTTGAGTCTATTTCTGAGCAGTTCAGAAAGAAGCCTGCATGCTTCTTCATATTGACAAATTCGAGATCTTTGAGCTCTGAAAAGGTCAAAATATTCTTATCTTGGACAGTCTACTTATTTAAGAGTTCTAATCTCTCCTAGAACAACGAGAAGCTGATGCCACCTCAGCTTTCAGCAATGTCAGACTCTAACTTCTTATTTCTTAAACAGGCTAGTGCATTGATCAAAGATATCTGCTCCAACCTATGTGCTGCATCAAAAGAAGCTGGTAATGCTGACTACACAATCGTTCTGCGTGGTGATTCAACATTGCGTGGTCATTTTCCCCAGGCAAGTTTGGCGCCCGTGGAATGAAATGGCAGACCATCATATCGCTGTTGGATTTGAACTTGACATTATGATCCATGCAGGAAGCAGATGCTGCTGTCTCTATCCTTGGGAAAATGGACGCATGGATTATTTGCCCTTTCTTCCTTCAAGGAGGACGCTATACTATTGATGATGTCCATTATGTTGCAGATTCTGATAGGTATATCTTTTTGAACAAAGAGTGTGTGTTTTAACTTCCTGAATTAGGGAAAAGTTCCCTTCAGAGCATTAAGTTAGTCTTCAACTCTTTATCATGAGTATTGCAGACTAGTTCCTGCAGGAGAGACAGAGTTTGCTAAAGACGCATCCTTTGGATATAAATCCTCAAATCTCCGTGAGGTATGAATTCTTCCAACAGCAAAATCATCTAATATAATTTGACCCTGACGAAAATAGTAGTAACGAACTAATTTTATATGATTCCAGTGGGTTGAGGAAAAAACAGATGGCACCATTCCTGCTAACAGCGTTGAGTCGATATCAATCCAACTTCTAAGAACAGGTGGTCCTGATGCAGTATGTGAGTTCTTATGCAGTTTAAAGAAGGTAAAATTTTGCTATGGCTTTCAGTTAACTTTACTGGTCCTCGGACCTGGTGGAATCAGTCTTTCCAAGTTCGGTATAAGCTATAAAGTCACAAACTACTTCCATTTCAGGGATCTGCATGTATTGTCAATGCAGCTAGTGACAGAGACATGGCTGTATTTGCAGCGGGTATGATCCAGGTAAGCTGGCCTATTTTTCTTTCAGTTTTTCTTTATTGTTTCTTACTTTTGAGGTATATTGATCAAATTAGAGTATGCATTTTTTTGTTTCTATATTATATTTTGGTCCCTTAGTTCGATCAAACATTGTGTTTGGCAGGCAGAACAGAAAGGGAAATCTTTCTTGTGCCGTACTGCTGCTAGCTTTGTGTCAGCTCGGATAGGGATTATTCCAAAGGATCTTGTGTTGCCGAAAGATTTTGCATCAGACAAAGAAAGTAGTGGTGCGCTAATAGTTGTAGGCTCCTATGTCCCGAAGACAACAAAGCAGGTTTACTTTTGTTACTAGCACTAATTTCTCTAATGCGTTAAATGAAATAGTTAAGAGAGTCCTGAGTCATGTCTTTAAACCAACAGGTTGAAGAACTTCAATCACAACATAAGCAGAAGTTAAGGAGCATTGAGGTAAAAATAAGTACATATGGCTAACAGGGATAGTTGTGATGGTGGCTAAATTCTAGGTATGATCAACAGATCTCTGTAGAGAAAGTTGCTCTCAAGTCCTCCGAAGTGAGAGCTGCAGAAATCAGTAGAGCGGTTGAGATGGCTGATGCTTTCCTTCGTGCTGGTAGAGAGACTCTAATTATGAGCAGTCGCGAGCTCATCACTGGGAAAAGTTTGTTTCTCCATTCCTACTTTTTATATACTCCTATTACTTGGTAATAAAGTCATGACCGAGGGATATCATCATTAACGGGCCTACCATTTATTTTGACAGCATCTTCGGAGAGTCTTGATATAAATAGCAAAGTGAGCTCCGCTCTGGTTGAAGTAGTGAGCCAGATAACTACTAGACCCCGTTATATTCTTGCTAAGGTACTTTTGAAAACACTTATTACTTCTCTGTTCAGCTTACCATATCATAAACTTCCCGGCACAAACTGTCTATGTACAGTACAGTCGATGATTGCAACTTTTTTATAGTTGGTCGTATTTTGACAATGTAACATATCCTTGTTTAGGGTGGAATTACGTCTTCAGACACAGCAACAAAAGCACTCAAAGCAAGACGCGCACTTGTGATTGGTCAAGCCCTTGCTGGTGTTCCAGTGTGGAAGTTAGGTCCAGAAAGTAGACATCCGGGAGTCCCCTACATTGTTTTCCCGGGTAAACCTTAACTTGTAATAAAAGAACATATTCAACTGAAGAAAATAGGTGTCCTTTATTGAAAAAATAAATATATTCCATATATGTTACAGGTAATGTTGGTAGCAGCACAGCTCTTGCAGAAGTTGTCAAGTCCTGGTCAGTTGTAGCTGGACGATCAACAAAAGAGCTGCTTCTTGTGAGTATCCCTCTTGTTCTCCAGCCTCATTTTTTCTCTTTCATATAGTGATGTTGTGTTTTTATGTGAAACAGAACGCGGAAAATGGTGGATATGCGATTGGAGCATTTAATGTGTATAACCTTGAAGGAATAGAAGCTGTTGTAGAAGCTGCAGAGGAAGAAAATAGTCCTGCCATTTTACAGGTTAGTATTGTGACCAAAAAGTGGATCTCGGATACGTCAAAGGGTTTCATATGAGAGACATCAGACACTGATAAAAACCAAAGCATAACTCTGTTCTCAATTGTTCAAAAATGCCTGACAGAAAAATCTGAAAGCTGATTTTTCCTCTGTTCTTATGGCTATGCTTTTAGGTCCATCCAGGTGCGTTCAAGCACGGAGGTATTCCATTGGTATCATGTTGCATCTCCGCAGCTGAACAAGCCAGGGTAAGTAACTTTGATTATGCATTAAATGTATATTCTATTGTCACGAATCAAACAAAAACGCTACTAACTCCGCAACTGGAAAAAAGAAGATTGTCCCGAATAAATATTGAATTTTCTGTTGGTGGTGGTGCTAAGAGACTTATACATATGTTTGACATGGAGCTCTCATGATTAATATGCACAATGTGGCAGGTTCCTATATCAGTGCATTTTGACCATGGAACAACAAAACATGAGCTATTAGAAGCTCTTGAACTCGTAAGTTTGAGATTTATATCGCCTATGTTCATTCTCTTTGTGCTCTTGTATTTACTTTTTATCTTGAAAACTTCATACCAATTGATCTTGTGCAGGGATTTGATTCAATGATGGTAGATGGTTCTCATCTCTCCTTCACGGAAAATGTGTTATACACGAAATCGATAACAGAGTTGGCACGTTCTAAAAACATTATGGTGGAGGCTGAATTAGGTAGACTCTCAGGTACAGAGGATGGCTTGACGGTTGAAGATTATGAAGCCAAACTCACCAACGTTCACCAGGTCTTTGTTGTGTGTTTTAATCATTCATTGATAAATCCAATCCCCCACCTTGCTACTATACATGTCTTCTAAATCAAATCCAGTTTTTTTCAGGCTCAAGAATTTATGGAGACTGGTATAGATGCTTTGGCTGTGTGTATAGGAAATGTCCATGGAAAATACCCCGAGTCCGGTCCAAACCTCAAGCTTGACTTACTTAAGGTCAAACATATTCTTATACTGAGTGCAGTTTACTGAGTTTGCTTCACTCTTATTCTAAATGATTTTTCATATGTATAGGAACTTCACAACTTAAGTTCAAAGAAAGGCGTCTTTCTTGTTCTTCACGGAGCTTCTGGTTTGCCTGAGAAACTCATCAAGGTAATCTAGAGCCGTACCAAGATTTTGGTATGTATTTAACTCTATAATTATTAATTATTGGTCTCATGTTGTCATCAGGAATGCATTGAGAATGGAGTGAGGAAGTTCAACGTAAACACAGAAGTAAGAAAGGCTTACATGGATGCTCTTACCTTCGGAAAAAAGACCGACCTTGTTGACCTCATGTCGGCAACAAAAACAGCCATGAAGGCTGTGATCGCTGATAAGATTCGTCTCTTTGGTTCTGCAGGGAAAGCCTGATTTGTTAATGTACAATGAACAATGTACACAGTTGTAAATCACATCAAAATAACCATCAAATGCGTTGTATGCAATGAACAATCGTTGAAAAAATAAAGGAAAACCTTATAAAGAAATTCGAATTTATTTTATAGGAAAGCCACTTACTTTTTTGGATAAAATTACTAATTATACATGGCTATTATCTCTAGACATTATAAACCTCGCAATCTTCGCCGTTTTATCTTCTACCTAAAATCCCTAACTCTCACACACATTCTCTTCATTGGGAATCTACTTCATCATTTTTTATTTTAAAACTCAAAAGTGTATATCTTTACGAGTTGCTTCGTTCTGATCTATTGATGTCTACTACTTCAACGTAATGGGGTTTGCTTCAATTCTCAACTTTTTGAGTGAAGTCGATGGCTTTGGATGTGGGTTCTTCGTTTTCGGATGTTTCTCTCAGATTCTCAATCTCTTCCTTCTCTTTTGCTTGCTTGTTTTGTCACTCAAGTTTCTTCTCTTCAAGTGTCCTTCGTCGTTTGTGCAGTCTCTAGAGAAGATATATAGAGTCTCTCCCAAGATTAAGTGTTGCAGTTCCTTCGATCAAGACAACAACAGAGATGTGTTATGTTCCAAACCTTGTCTGGTCGATGAGTTGGATCAGAACAAACCTGTTATCTTACAGTGGAACCGAAAAAAGACCAACGAGAGCTGTGAGAATTGTGATCAACTTCTTCTAAGCGACAGAACGAACAGAGACACTGCTCGATCGTTATCAGAGACAGAGGAAAGCGAGGACGAGGAGGAGTCACGTGAAGATGAGGTGTTCGACGTTATTACTCTGAGAAAAATGGTTAAAAGAGAGAGGAAACGTGGAGATGGTTTGAAGACAGAGCTGGAGAAAGAGAGAAGAGCGGCGGAATCAGCAGCTGAAGAAGCCATGGCTATGCTTCTGAAGCTGAGGATGGAGAAGAACGCGGTGGAGATGGAGGCGTGTCAGTACAAGAGAGTCGCGGAACAGAAGCAAGTCTATGACCAAGAAGTGATTCAATCGTTACAGTGGATGTTGATGAAGCTTGATGATGACAACGGAGATAAGATTCACGACTAAAAAAACTCTTTCATCGTCCCCTTTGTATGCATATAAATAAACGAATGTAAAGACATGTATTTCGATTAACACAGTTGAAGTTGAACTGAATTTATCTTTTGTTTAAAAAGAAAAAAGAAAAAAAACTGAATTTATCTTACGTGTCAATTTAGACAAGTTTACTTACGTGGCCTGTTACTATTGGATGCATGATAACGAGTCTACATTGCAATTTATGGACTTGGTGAATTACGTAAATACCCTTATTAACTTTATCACTGGATTTATGATAACGTGGCAATTTAGACAAGTCTATTCACGTGGCATGTGAGTATTGGATGTATGATAACGATTCGACGTGGCAATTTATTGACTAAGTGAATTACGTAACTACCCCTTTCTTCTTTCTTTCTAATTCTCTCCTCAAGTCATCCTTCTGAAACTCGATCTGATCACTGAGAAACCACCACGACGACGACGTAGAAGGTGAAGGAGGAGTAAGAATGAGAATCTCAGGCCACGTAATCGTTATTCTATCGATAATTACATTCTATTACCTCGATCTAACCGTCCACGCTCGTCCCGTCGTCCTCGTCCTCTCAAACGACGATCTCAACAGCGGCGGAGACGATCCGGGAATCGGAGACTCCTCCGACTTCGACGAATTCGGCGAATCCGAACCTAAATCCGAAGAAGAGCTCGATCCCGGCTCCTGGCGACGCATGTTCGAGCCGGACGACGAATCAACCGTCGAATCCGCGTCTCCTCGGTACTACTCCGGCCTCCACAAGATCCTATCGGCTGCGAGCGAGGGAAACGATAGGTTAATGGAGGAAGCCGTGGAGGAGATAGAGTCGGCGGCGGCTTCATCATCTTCCGGAGATCCGCACTCGCAGTCGTTGATGGGATTCGTCTACGGGACGGGGATGATGAAGGAGAAGAGTAAGAGCAAATCCTTTCTTCATCATAACTTCGCTGCTGATGGTGGGAATATGCAGTCTAAGATGGCTCTTGCCTTCACCTATCTGAGACAAGACGTAAGCAAACAAAAAGATGACACGTGTTTGAGTTTGTTATACTTTTTTTTTTTTTTGAGAGTTTGTTATTTGATTCCTCCTTTGTGTTGTAGATGCATGATAAAGCTGTGAAGCTATACGCTGAGCTGGCGGAGACGGCGGTTAATAGTTTCCTAATCTCAAAGGACTCACCAGTGGTGGAACCAACTAGAATCCACAGCGGGACTGAAGAGAACAAAGGAGCTCTAAGGAAATCACGTGGGGAAGAGGATGAGGATTTTCAGATATTGGAGTATCAAGCACAGAAAGGCAATGCTGCGGCTATGTATAAGATTGGATTGTTTTATTACTTTGGTTTGCGAGGGTTAAGGCGTGATCACACCAAGGCGTTGCACTGGTTCTCAAAGGCGGTGGAGAAAGGGGAGCCGAGGTCTATGGAGCTTTTGGGGGAGATTTATGCGAGAGGAGCTGGTGTTGAGAGGAATTATACTAAGGCGCTTGAGTGGCTTACACTTGCTGCTAAAGAAGGGCTTTATTCTGCGTTTAATGGGATTGGGTACTTGTATGTTAAAGGTTATGGAGTAGAGAAGAAAAACTACACTAAGGTATGGTATCAATTTAGGAACTGGATAGAGAAGTGTAAGGTTGTAGAACAATTGGATTAATGTTGCATTGTTGTATGGGGTTTAAATGCAGGCGAAGGAGTATTTTGAAAAGGCTGTTGACAATGACGACCCCAGTGGGCATTATAATCTTGGAGTTTTGTATCTTAAAGGCATCGGAGTCAAAAGGGATGTGAGGCAGGCAACAAAGTACTTCTTTGTTGCTGCAAATGCTGGCCAGCCAAAGGCTTTCTATCAACTGGCTAAGATGTTTCATACTGGAGTTGGGCTTAAGAAGAACCTGGAGATGGTAATTTACTTTTAAATCTCTGAGACTTTTTTTCTGGATGCTAAATGCAATGATTCTTAAATCCATTTAGTTTAAGGGGAATGAAACTCTTTAGAAATTATGGCTGCCTCTTATAAACTTCACAAGAATAACAGACTATTGTTAGCTATATATCAATGTTTTTATCATGGAGGAAAGGGGGTGTATATTGTTGTGGAACTTTGTGCTTTCATTGTTTGTTCACTTTCCTTGCATTTTGGTTACAGGCCACTTCGTTCTATAAGTTAGTAGCAGAAAGAGGACCATGGAGTTCTCTCTCTAGATGGGCACTTGAAGCTTACCTTAAAGGTGATGTGGGTAAGGCTTTAATCTTATACTCAAGAATGTCAGAGATGGGTTATGAAGTAGCACAGAGTAATGCTGCATGGATCCTCGATAAATACGGTGAACGAAGCATGTGCATGGGAGCATCTGGATTTTGCACAGACAAGGAGAGACATGAGAGAGCACATTCTCTGTGGTGGCGTGCCTCTGAACAAGGCAATGAACATGCTGCTCTCCTCATTGGAGATGCATATTACTATGGCCGGGTTAGTTTTCCTACTATTTTGAAACTAAATCATGAGACCAATAACGTTAGGAGATGTTACACTGTTTGAATATGATGTGAATCAGCTAGAAAAACTTAAAGATTGTTCTCCTGATTCCTTCTCTCTGTGTGTTCATTCTTGGATCTCTAATCAGGGAACCGAGAGAGATTATGTGCGTGCTGCTGAGGCATACATGCATGCTAAATCACAGTCAAACGCGCAAGCAATGTTCAACCTAGGTTACATGCATGAGCATGGACAAGGGCTTCCCTTTGATCTGCATCTAGCAAAACGTTACTACGATCAAGCACTTCAGAGCGATGCAGCAGCAAAATTGCCAGTCACACTTGCTCTCGCGAGCTTGTGGCTACGTAGAAACTATGCTGACACCTTCCTGGTAAACTTGAAAAACCAATTTTTTTCTCAGTTCTTATATCAATACCTTGAATGCAGTATAACAGATCGAAATGACGAGAGGCAATTTTTTTATTTTATAAACTGATAGGTGAGAGTTGTGGACTCGTTACCCGAAGTGTATCCAAAGGTAGAGACTTGGATTGAGAATGTGGTGTTTGACGAAGGTAACGCCACAATCCTCACACTTTTTGTCTGTCTTATTACGATTCTCTATCTCCGAGAGAGGCAAAGAAGACAAGTCGTTGTCCCCGATCCTGTGGGAGGCGATGTGGCACAACCCCTTGATGCTGACGTTGCACAACATTTGGCTGCATTCCCGCGGTGATCATCGTCTTCTTCATTGTAATAGCAGAGTACAATCGCATTTTGGTTTTTCATTGTACAGTTAAAAAAGGTTTTTATGGGATCGCTCGCTCGACTTTTTTCTGCAACTTATCTTCTTAGGCCTAATAGATGTGGCTTCTTACGTTATATTAACCAAACTATAAGCCCAGTTTCTTAACTTTTAATCTCTTTGTGTTGTAATGTGCCTGTGAGCCGACGATGTTAAAAAGGTAATTTGTTTTTGAATTTGGAGTAGCGGGTGAGAATTATGCCTTGCGTTTACATTAACTCACCAGAACTTTATTGTACGTTTGTACAAGGCCCCAGTCAAATGTATAAATAAATCAAAGAAGACGTAAATGTGTTATACGTTTCCAACAGTGCGTGTAAAAAATCGTGCTAATATAGTTAAGTCCGCAGTTAGTGTGTGTTTAATCAATTTGTTTTGAAAGTGAAGAACGACAAGCATTCCAGAAAAAAGCGAATCTATCGGATAGAGTAAAAACCATGGGACCCTTTATAAGTAAGTATCCCCGACTAAGCACATCCACATTATCGGCGTAATAAATCTGAATGATGCTTACACTAGAGATATCTTTTGGTAGGGATGGTTGTTTATATGATGAGTTCTTATATGATTAGACAAAACTATAATGTTTGGTTAATAACTCTATAATGTAGTTAAACTTAAATCATACTTCAAGTTCTACGGAAAGTGATCAATCAGTGTGACTTGAAAATGAAACTGCTGATGAAAGGACAGTTACATTATTTTGACTGTAAAAGAGAAAAAGCTATCACGCACTAACTGGTCTGACAGTCTCGAGACATGTGGTAACATTTTCATTATTACATTCCAAAAATATCATCCATAGCCAACCTTTTCCCCTTAAATTCCATAAAAAGCACTGAGAAGAACACAAGTTGATTCAGTCTCACTCTTTCTTAGTGGAGCTCCATCAATGGCTTCACTAAACCTCTTCAACTTAGCTTTCCTTCTACTTATCTCTCACGCTTCAGGTTCTCTTTAGTATTAAAATTCTACTTATTTTAACATTTAGTTTTAGCTCCTGAAATTCTATGTCCTTGTTAGAATAAATGCACGTTTATTAGATTTGTAAATATTTTAGTTGCAAAAAATTTCTAATCACACGTTATTTTTGTTCTTCCTTGTGACCAGCTTCAACGGTAGTATTCTTCAACAAATGCAAACACCCAGTGTGGCCAGGAATCCAGCCCAGCGCCGGCCAAAACATACTCGCCGGAGGTGGATTTAAGCTTCCGGCTAACAAAGCCTACACCCTTCAGCTCCCACCTCTTTGGTCCGGCCGCTTCTGGGGTCGCCACGGCTGCACATTCGACAGATCTGGCCGTGGTCGCTGCGCCACCGGAGACTGCGGCGGTTCCCTCAACTGCAACGGAGCCGGCGGCTCACCTCCGGCCACTCTCGCAGAAATCACCCTCGGACAAGAGCTTGACTTCTATGACGTCAGCCTCGTCGACGGGTGTGTAAAACTTCTAAACATCAACTTTACTACTTTTTTAACAAATCTAAACTAAAAGTGTTGTTTTGTTTTGTGTAATGACAGTTATAACCTCGCGATGTCGATAATGCCGGTTAAAGGTAGAGGTCAATGTAGCTACGCCGGTTGTGTAAGTGATTTAAACCGGATGTGTCCGGTTGGGTTACAAGTTCGGTCACGTAACGGGAAACGGGTAGTAGCCTGTAAAAGCGCTTGCTCTGCTTTTAACTCACCACAGTACTGTTGTACCGGCACGTTCGGTAACCCGTTTTCCTGCAAGCCAACTTCTTACTCCAAGATCTTCAAGGTTGCTTGCCCTAAAGCTTATTCTTACGCTTACGACGACCCAA